AATCTAATCTTCAAATCCCCATGTAAGCTTCGCCCCGCCTGCATTTTGCAAATAGTCCATCTGAGTTACACTTCTTGAACCAAAATATTGAGGATAAAAATGTATGTAAGCAATGGGCATACAGAAACACATTTATTTATTCATAAAAGCAGCATATGAAAATGCATTATATCAAGAGAGACAGTTTACCAAGGAAAGAAAAAAGAATAAGCCTGTTGGGCCAAAGTCCACCCCAATTGCATATACATTTTCATGAGGACTTCTTAAAGTTATCAACTAGGATGGCAATGGGAAGTGATAAATGGAAGAGTGGGAAGAGGAAGAAGTAAGACAAGAGGAGATTCATTCACTCCTAATATGCAGAGCAGTAATGGGGCTGTTTAACGTTTGCAGAATGATAAAGAACAGGTGGAGTGAACGGATATTTTACCTTGAGTCAAAGCACTTACTGTGCTAATGAAAAAAATGCAGAACTCTTAATATTCCCTTTTTTCCATGCCGCCTTAATCTTTTTGACGGGATCCCAGCTACAGATTGGAAACTGACTCTTGCAGTTCTTGAAGGTGAATGTATTCCCCCCCCCCCTTATTTTAGAGCAGTCGAGGACAAGCTAAGTATACCAAGCCATTTCAATCCAAATGAGTAATAATCACAGATGTCCAGAAGAGAATATAAAAATATTTAATTAGCAGTTAGCAGCTGGGGGGGAAACGGGGGAGAGGAGAAAGAGAGTGTGGCTACTAGAATGCTTTTTTTGGTCATTTTTCCCCCTCTTTTGGTTTGTTTTGCTTTTTAAAGCTTATTTTTTTAAAAAAATATTTTGATTACCATCGTATTTTATTTCAACCTTTGCTCTTGTGTAAGGTTCATTTTATGTGTGTGTACACAGTCTTTTCCTTTCTCTTTGTTTTTGCTTTGTTTGTTTTGCTTAATTAATAAAAAGTTGGGGAAAGCAAACCAAGCCGTAGGTTGAGGAGAAGAGGAGCAAAGCTCAGGTACTGAAAATAAGAGGATACTTGCCCGTTTTTGGATGAGGCCTGTGTAGCATGCAAGTGCCTCATCAGTTTGGCTTAAATGTGGAACCTTAACAGTAATTCTGGAGGAGGAACAAGTATCCCACAGTTGTGGTAACTTCCTTAGAAATCATATAATCCAGAAAAAAGTCAAGGCGTGAAAATCTTTCTATGTATAAAATGGAGATACAGTTCACATAAGCATGCCGTCCCCTTTTATTTTATTATATTCGTTTGTTGAGCTTTATTGTAGTCTTTGGTTGGTGTCCTGGAGAAAGTTTGCTCCAAAAAATGTGAAATGTTATTGGGTAGATCTGTAAACTGAAAGTATAAAGGCTGAATTACTGGAGATGTTTGTGCCTGCAAGTCGAAGCAAACTCTGCAGCTGTTTAGAATGATGAGCCAGTTGTTTTTAATGAAACCATGGTGGTAAATGCTGCTAATCAATGGCCCAACTACGGTAACCCTAAATCGATGGAAAGGTTTAATGTTTTGCTGAATGTTATCAGAAGGATTTCAAGAAACCCTAGTTTATGGAACCTATAGCATTGAGTCTTTGATTATTTAATGTTTAAGCCTCCTTTTAGAAACTCGTTACTAATTTTTTAAATAAAAATAAATTCTAACTAAAATATTAATTATGGCAGGGTTTTTTTTTTAGGAAAGCCAAATATCTCAGTTTCTTAAACTTCACCATTTTGAAGGGCACGTTCATATAGCCAATTTTGTGTTTGGTCCAAGAGCTTGGGGTTTTCAGTTATACCCAAACTAAAATATGCACAGTTTTGTTATAGAAATAAATGACAAAGTTTTGCCTTCTTTTAATATTCTAAAGAGTGTGCTGTAATAACAAGAGTACCTTTTCGGAGATGTTAGTAACATCTCAAGCTGGAGAATGAAAGCTGAGGTTGGTGTATGTGGTGGAAACCATATTTGATGTATGCTCTTATGTTTGTTTATTTTGCAGTAGGCGAGTTTGTCAGTGATGTTCTCTTGGTTCCCGAAAAGTGCCGCTTCTTCCACAGGGAGCGGATGGTTGTGTGCAAAAGTCACCAATATTGGCACATTGTAGCAAAAGAGGTAGGCTTCGGTACCGCAAGCACGCCTACATTTTCCCAGGAGATATAGCGTGTGGCAAAGCTTGAAATTCAGAGTTAGAAATGTCTTCCTTTTCTTTGGAAAAGAAGTTAGCATTAGGTCTGAAAGATGACTTTGACTAACATGAAGCCATTTCAAGTGTGATTACAGGTCCAAATTGCCCCCCCCCTCGCCCC